GTTCTGTTTTCAGTGCTGGCCGTTCTGCAGCAAAACGGGCCGTACTGTTTTCAGTACGCCCCGTTCTGCAAGCAGTACGTCACGTTCTTCAATCAGTACGGCCCGTTCTGCAAGCAGTACAGGCCGTTCTGCTTGCAGCAAGGGCCGTTCTGGGGCCGTTGTGTTGCAGTACAAGTCACCGCGTCACTTTTAAAATGGCTACCTTATGACTGATTTTAAAACCCCAATTTTAAAAGTTATTTTTGTACTAATCTTTCTTTCCATAGAACAAGAGTCTTTCTCTTACAAGACCACCTGTCGTCATTGCGCACCCCTCTTCTTTCTCTTTCTGGCACTCCTCTTCTTCTTTTTTTTTCCCGCACCTCGCACACCCCTCTTCTTTCTCTTTCTGACACTCCTCTTCTTCTTCTTCTTACTGTTACGGAAAATTCTTTCCGGAATTATATAAAAATGTTCCGGAAAATACTTTCCATAATATTAAATTCTTATTCCGGAAAGTATTTTCCGGAAATGTTTTGTTACATAATTCCGGAAAGTACTTTCCATAATATTAAAGTTACTATTACGGAAAGTTCTTTCCGGAATTATATGAACAATAATTTTACTATTCCGGAAAGTACTTTCTAGAATGTTAATGACTGTAAAAGTACTTTTCGGAATGCTAATGACTGTAAAAGAGCCTTTCTTATGCTGGTTATGGTGGGGCTAGTCCTTTTTTTCTATTCAGAATGACTGTAAAAGTATATTGCTTAATAACATTGAGCGGAAAGAGGCTTTGGGAAGAAGAGGGGTGTGAAGTGTGGGGTGCGGGGAAGGAGGGTGGGGGAAGGGATGTGTAAATTTAAGAATTTCATTTTTTTAAAGGGTAATTTAGACATTTTATATATATATTTTTAAAAAGAGGGTGTGTTTATATGAGAGTGGAGGTGTGTTTATCACCAGCCCCAATATAATTTGACCTAGTGAGCCAATGAATCAGCTTACAAATCCAAGTCAATTTTGACAGATTTATGGATTAATAATTATTATAAATTTAAATATATTATTCAAATTCAATAACATGAATGAAAAATATAAATATATGAAATACTATATGTAGAAAAATGTTATTTAGGAGGATATAGGACTATATTTTATTAATTTTATTTTTCTTTGTTCAATCTTATCATTTATGTTTTGTTTATTAATTATATAATTTAAAAAAAATCCATATTAATCTTTGAATTTAATAAAATAATTTCAAATTCTCTAAACTCTTATAATATAAATCTATTAAAATTTATATTATAAAATCTTAATTATAAAAGTTTAAAAAAAAACTCAAAAATCATTATATTTTTACAAAATCTTAAAAGAGATTACATTCTTATAAAATCTTTTAAAATTTACAAAAAGATTTCATGTTAAAATAATCTTATAAAATTTCAATCTCATACATTCTTAAACTATAATTATTCATATTTTTTTTTGGAAGCCGGGCTTGATTTGGAAATATAATTGGAACCACCTTTGTGCTTGAACATCAGACTAAAAAAGTGATAGGTTGGTGATGCTTAAGAATGCAATCATACCTCACATTCGCTGAGAAAACGATTGGTTGGCATATTTAGTTTTCAATTATGAAGTACAACAAGATTTCATGAAGAAAATAGCAAAAATTGCCTCATATCGTCAATCATATATCAAATTAAATGCAAAAAATAAAATAAAAGGTCCAATTAATATTAAGTTGGCAGACATCTCTTTGATGAAGGGGATTCAGGGATGGAGTTTTCCTGATTCAGTAGTCATTTTCTATATTTTCACGAATTCATGATTTAAAATGACAAAACATTTATTATTATTATTTTTATGTTATTCATGTATATTTATTTAGTTCTTTTACAAAAAAAATTTGTTCCACCAATGTAAAATACTTTTTACACAGTAATCCAATCACAACCGGTATATTTAGTAAGTTATAAGACGATTCAGTAATTTGAAAAGAGAGATTCAAGACTGAAATGATCATGAAAAAATATTTACATTTTTTAACTAAGATGATACATTAATTATTAACAATTGTTTACAAAATTTGGAAAAAAAAATTATATTTGGAAATTTAATTTATTTTTCTCTTAATTACTTTAAAACTCATACTAATAACTTAATAATTTTTTATCGATCGAAACTTTTACCTTGATAATATATAATTATTAAACTTATATATATATATATATATAT